AAAGGGCCTAAAAACCGCAAAATAGATATTGAACTCTCCCCCTACCCCCAAAAAACGTTTTCTAAGCAGAAGGGTGGGTTGTAGTCGCGGTGCTTCACCGTTACATCCCTTTCTCGAGTCTTTGGGGCAAACCCAAAGAAGACGGGTTTAAGCGGGCCGAAGGCGCGCTACATCAGTCGATCATGTTTTTCAGCGAATCGCGTGACAGAAATGGTCGGGCCGCAGGCCCGACCATCGCCGCCGGCAGGCCAAGCAAGCCCGGCTCCTGCCGAACGGAGTTGCCGGCGGAGCGAAGCGGAGCTGGCAACTTCGTTTGGCGGAAGGGCGGGCCTGCTTGTTTTCTTTCCTAAAATTTTTGGTAAGGCAAATATTAGCTTGTATGACTTTTGCTGTTGGTTTCAGCCCTGTTTGTCAATTGACATCATCACTTGATATTCTAGTGAGTGTGTGTGTGTGTGTGTGTGGATGTGTGTTGTGTTGTGTGCCAGTGTTAGTGTGCTCTGTGCTCTGCTCAATTCTAAGTTCTAACCTTAGCTTTGCTTTAACTTGATGTCTAAAACTCTCTGGCTGTTACTCTAACTCTGAAAGTCCCTGGAAACTTTCAACATGAGAGAGAAAAAATTGTACTGTTTGTGTCAAAAACCTTGGGATGGAAAGGAGTAAGTGATATGATGGAATAACAAGTAATCCATAAAATCCATGTAATGTATCTTGCCAATTTCTTAGAGAGACGGCCAGGGGGAATATGGAGAATGTAACAATTTTTTGTTGTCATAGGACTGCAATCCATTTATAAATAAGATAAGCTTGCTTATTTCTGCTCTTGCGCCGAGCAACTAGTGGGTGTGACGTGAGCCTCCGCGTGTTCGGTTAGGTTAAGTTCTTTCATTAAGTTTCTTTTGGACCCACGGCTTCTGCTCCCATTTCCTGTAGTTGAGCAATGTTAAATCTATCTGTCGCCGTCCACAAGCTTCGGTCTTGTCACCCACCTCTTTGGGCTCCGGTGGGTGTTGAAGTGGTGAGATACGTAAAAACAAGGGGAATCCCATATGTGATGCGAAGGGAATGCAACTTAGCTTGATTTAAGGACTATCTCCGTTTTTTTATCTCCACCTACTTTACTATTTCCGAAGTACTTCTATTCACCTATTTAGTGTGTAGCTTTCTTTTACTACATGTTACGCATGTTTACCATGGTATGATCGTTTGATGAATAAACTAACTTATTGCTCCTTTTGTTGCGGAACAGGTTCATGATTAATTGAGATCACTGTCCCATGTGGTATTATGGTAGATGTGTTGGTGTCAAAGAGGGTAAGAGACTTAGTGTCTTAGTGAGCACTCAGTTGTATTTTCTCTTTGTCTTATGGACGCTGCTTATGTTTGCTTTCCCCATCAGGAGTTTGGTCTAACATGAATTGGATTTGTCCTTCTTGCTGCAAAGCGCAAGCAGAGTGTCAAAAACAAATGAAACGCTGTGCTGAGCTAACTGAACAGAACCACAATATTATTGGCACTGTAAAGGCCTCATACCGGTACCTCCTATCAATATGCGCTTATAATTCTTTAGGTAAAACGTAATCGCTCATCACCTCGGGTTCTACACAGAACCGCTTACCTGCGCGAGCCCTGCACAGAACCGCTCATCTGCTTGCGGCCGGGGCGCTGGTTAGGTTATGTTGCCCCTCGTATTTACTATAATATCACCCAATATCGGAGGTTCTTACGGGCTATAGCAGTTTAAATATGATGTTCCAGTACAGACAAAAGAGCATGCTGCATTTTTTTGTTTCTAAATTGAAGCTCAGCACCTAGGAACATCCATCGAAATCTGGGAATCACCCGCCCGTATTTCAGAAAGATGAGCGGTTCTGTGTAGGACCCGCGCAGATGAGCGGTTCTATTTAGAGCCCTTACTAATAAGCGGGTTTGTTTGGACTGAAAACAAATAAGCGCATGTTGATAGGAGGTACCGATACTCTACTAAAACAGGTGAGTACAACTGTCAATTGTGACTTTTTGTTTTAGCCAGGTAGAAATTTAACTTTCTAAATTAATTTTTAGCAAGAAAATAATTTTAAAGCACTAGAAAATAAGTCAAGAGAAATTGAAATTTTGAAAGAAAGATGTGATATTAAACTGCAATTATTAACGAGTTGAAGTAAAGCTGCGATAAAGAAATTAACAAGCAGGCCCGCCATCGGCGATGGTCGGTCCTGCGGCCCGACCATTTCTATTACGCAATTTGCTGAAGAACATGATCCTGTCGTCTTTGAGTTTGCCCCAAAGACTCGAGAAAGGGATGTAACGGTGAAGCACCGAGACTTCAACCCACCCTTCTGCTTAGAAAACGTTTTTTGGGGGTGGGGGCAGAGTTTCCTTTCTAGTTTGTGGTTTTTAGGCCTTTTTCTACAGCTTATTGTTCACTATGGCAATTTTTAGCTTATTTTCGTCAAAAAAGACCCTCTAGCGCCTAAAGGGTGAGAGATAGAGCCAAACGGACGAAATTTTCGTCTAAGGGCTCTACTTTGATGAGTTACCCCTTAGGAGATCATAAAAAAAAATCTTTTTCTAACTTTTTTGACCTACCCCCTTTTCTTTGATACTCCCTTATAGCCCCTTAGGGGTGATTGCCAGGATTTGCCGTAGGCGTTTCGTTTTCTAGGAGTAAACCTTTAAACCTTAAAAATGTTAGTTAACACTACTAGGACCAGAGGGGTCAGAATGACCCCTTTTGATTTTTAATTGCCAAAGAAACTACGAATTAATTTTTTGACCGATTCATCACTTTCCGACTTTTCATGTAATACCGAAAGACGCTTGGACGCAAAATATGAGGTCTCTGTGACACAAAGTACGGATGGTTTTGCGAATGCGAAAACTGCCACGCACATTTTTGTCCGTGCCAAATTGGTAAAAACTAAAATGTTTTTGAGTGGATCACACTCCCGCTTTTAGAGTACAGATGGGTTTCTGAAATTAAGCACTTTCAAATGTTTACTAACTCAAATATTAATTTTGAAGTTGAAAAATGCCTGAGATAGTGCGAACAGTTCACATAAATAGCTGTAAAACTCCAAAAAGAAAGGTTTGGGCCGTGCGGGTTGCCTACCTAAGCACATTTTGACCCTACTTAATGTCAACTTATGGCATCAGGTACCTTGAAACACACAAATTCTTAACCATGTGCCATAAAACTGCAGCCTTCAACCCTTAAAAACGGCCAAAAATCGTAGAGGGGTCAAAATGACCCCTCCGGTCCTTCTGGGTATACGAAAATCCCGGTCCTTCTAGTGTTAAAGCAAGATCTGTGCGTTTAGTTGCATTGCATGCGATCTGTATTTGCCGCCCGATCCCGATTCCGACACAGCTCCGTGGTCGCCAGCGCCCCGACGAATCAGAGGCCACCCGGGGCCGCTGGCGTGGGGGAGGTGCCCAAGTCAGTGAGGGTCCCTAAAAACGCGTTCGGCCCCTCGGCCTCGGCTCACAGACATGTCCGCAATCGACCGTCCCCCCTCCGCGCCGCTGCGCGCCCCCACCACATCTGAGCGCTTCCCGTCGAGAACTATACTCTATTCGAACTTACGTTTTAGCTCGTCTCATACACAACGATTCACTGGGTGTGGTGTTTTAGTGGAAAACGCAATGTAGCAGGTTTGCCTAGTCCTTTTGCCCGTAAGGCGCCATGGTCTGCTGCTCCAGCGATTCGATTACTTTCTCACATCGTAACGTCATTGATTCATTTTCTTTTTATAATGGGTAAAATCCGAGTAATTCTTAATTGAATGGCAATAATATTATTAGAGTCATCCCCAGAACTTCTCGTCGAGGACAAAAAGTCTATTCGATAGTAGTTGACATTTTTAGTCATTTTTGAACAGGCAAAGTCCGAGTTGTCCTTCCTTGAATGGCTAAAATCATTCCCAGAACTTCTCGACATTTTTATTTTCTTCTTCAACTACATACAACAACGGTTTATACATGCACTTATACAGTTTCTCTTTATTTTCTGATTTAGCTCTAGTCCCAATTTTAATGTGATGTGAGTAAGGCCCTTGCCAACATTGGGGGGCAAATTTTTGGTCCATTTTTCGGTCGCGCCTCGGGTACCGCGCTCTGAGCCGTTTTCAGAGAGCTGCAGCTTCGTAACCTTGGTGGAACAAAATCCGGCGACCACGCTGGATGGTAGCTAGGCCGTCTGGAAACACCCAGTGAGAAACGTGATATCGCTTGGATGTCGTTTCGATGTTCCCGACGTCGGAAACACATCGATGTAGTAAAGAGCCCACTTTGATGTCAGTGGGCTGCGCCAGAACTACCCTTTCTCGATGTTCGCTTCCGACACCTCTCTGATTTGCCACTCGCACTCCCCCCCCCCCTCTTCTCGCCCTTCCCCATCCCGGCGTATGCGTTGCAACTTGCAACAAGTTTAGACCGGCGAAACCGAAACGCACGTTATTTTGCCCATATTATATGGAATAAAAAGGCCTCTAAGCGAGATGGATGATAAACCGGTAAGTCTTATGCTTTAACTGAGTGATTTCTGCTTTAAAAGGGGTCTAATTAAGTTGTTGAATAGATTAACGAGGCTTCGCAAGTTCATTGAAGGTTATGTGGATTTGGAAGTCTGTGGTAAATTGCATGATGCGTTGTAGTAATTTTGTTAGATCTTCTTGCTACTGAATTACATTGATTATTCTGTAGATACGCCATCTGTTTGATACTGTCACTAACGTTCGAGAACGTTATTCTGATTAGTTTGTCTGCTGAAATCAATTGCTTGGGCTGCTTTCTTTTTCTTTTAGGGCGATTGTAGATCATTTAAAAGGTTCAAAAGAGCATTCGATAGAGCTGCCGGACGTGAGCTGTCCAAAGACAAAAGGGTTGACCGTGTCCGAAACATTATCCACTCTACCCATGACGAAGGTGAAGATAACAACGAGGATGG